TATATATATATATATATGTATATGTATGTATGTATGTATGTATGTATAATTTATGTCTATATATTAATATAGATTTACATATATATATATATATATAATATTGTAAATATTCTTATATTTATATTTTGTCTACCTGACAAATATTCTTATATCTTCTTATGTTATATCTATTTATATATAGCACAAATAAAAAAAAAAACATTTCAATCACATAAAGTATCCATCAAACTCTAAATTTACTTTGGTAAAAGCTGTAATATTTAATAGACCGGTAAAGTGGAGCAGTACAATCTCTCATCATGTCATAAATGAACTCTTCAATAAAACGTACCTTGTTTTCCGAGTCCATTGCGCGGGGAAGCAGCTCCGACACTCCGAGACTTCTTCAGATTCATGCTGTCGCTAACGTCTGTCTTCAGATCCAGCTACATTATTTTCTCTCACTGAAATGCGAGCAGCTGATGGGCTTCTACTACTTTAGCTTGACAGCTAAAGGCCACATCCTCTCCTTCAGGCCCGCGTTAGCTGGATAAACTCATGGCACATGAACCTCATCTGTCGCTCCGGTCGGTTTCACTCATGTCAAGGGTTTTACATCAGTGTGTTCCGCCGAACCGAACCGAACCGAACCGGCATCTCTGCGCCTCTTTTGTGTCATTTCATGCGAATCGCTTCAGCAGCTCCAGCGGTAGCATCATCTGGGTTGATGTTTACGTGTAAGTGAAGGATTATGGGAGTTGTAGTTTCATTAGCTCACGAAAAGGCGAAGTCTTAGTAACCATTCAAAATAAAGGTCACCATTAAAAAACACAATAAACACATAAAACGTATTAAAAATAAACAGACAAAAAAATAAACACGTTAACCGGTCTTACAACATTTGCTGTTGTACCTACGAAAAGACATTTATTAACAAAACCAAAAAAAAAAAAATTTCAACTATGTACAAATTTTATGCTTAAATAAATAAATAAAATAGATCGTTTTATCATTCAGTCAAGTGCAGTAGAAGACAGTCGGACAGTTGTTGACGCTTTGTGATATTTTTGTAATAGTTTAACGAAACCTTTATTTTGAAATATCGTTTTAAAATACTCTCATTCGTCTTGTCCCTCCGCGCTCTCCGTATGTTTTCGAGCTGTCATGTGAATCCAGTGATTGCCAAAACGTTTAGAGAAAACTGACTTTATCAAATGAACATTTTTTATTTTCGATTATAATAAATAGCCAAAATGCTCTCCCGTTTATTAAAAGAACACCAAGCGAAACAAAACGAAAGGAAAGAGCAACAAGGTATGTGTTTCTGTAGATCTCTAGCGACTAGCTCTGACAGCTTTGATATAATTCAAATGCAAAGATAAAGACGCATCTTAATATTTGTCTGTTAAATGTGTTTAAGAAAAGATGGAGTTGTGACATTGCTATAAATAATAACATTTCATTTTCATTCGAGTCGCAAATTCTGTTTTGAGTAATTTCCGGTTTAATTTAGTCACAAACACTGCTTGTATTTTATGTATAACTACAGAAATAAGTAAACATAAGAATAAAAAAACGAATAAATTATTATTAAGCAAAGATTGGTGTACACACACACACATATAATATAAAATAATTATATTTTCATTACTTGAAATTTCCTGGCAGCCACCCAAAACAAATTTGATCAGCTTCAAAATAAAAGTGAATGAGTCTATACAAATCAAGTGAAATTAAATCATTGCTTTTTCTTGATAAAATGCTTCTATGCGGTACAGAAAGACGAAGGCGAGAGGCCATAGCAGCTGCAACATGTTTAACAGAAGCTCTGGTGGACCATCTCAATGTAGGGTGAGTCGGACAGGTTTTATATGTTTGTGAAGGTGCACAGGATTATATGGTCAGTTCATGTGATCACTTAGGTCATAATCCCAGTCTTTGTGTGGACGTTATGATGAAACTCTGCTGAAAGCAGCTTAGAGTTGCATGGTTGGATGCAACAGAACATTGTTCTTGCAACAGACAAATTAATGCAAAGAGCACTGGAATGGAAACTGAATATTTCACCAAAAACTGAAAATTTTGCTGAAAATGTACTCACCCTCAGGCCATCCAAGATGTAGATGAGTTTCTTTCTTCATCAGAACAGATTTGGAGAAATGTAGCATTACATCACTTGCTCACCAGTGGATCCTCTGCAGTGAATGGGTGCCGTCAGAATGAGAGTCCAAACAGCTGATAAAAACATCACAATACTCCACACCACTCCAGTCCATTAATTAATGTCTTATGAAGTGAAAAGTTGCATGTTTTTAAGAAACAAATCCATCATTAACACATTTTTTAATTTAAACTGTCACTTTTAGCTTAAACACGAGTTCTCTAATCATAATATTGCTTTCTCCAATGAAAAAGTCATCTTGTCTGAATCAGGAGAGAAATATGCACAGATCAAGCACTGTTTACAAGCCAACACGGTTCTAAACAAATATGTTGTTGAATTTTTATGTAAGAGGACAACGGGGGATGGACTTCTTCACTGGAGGAAATGTTATTATGAATTATGCACTCATTATGGACTCGTATACGGTTCTAAACAAATATGTTGTTGAATTTTTATGTAAGAGGACAACGGGGGATGGACTTCTTCACTGGAGGAAATGTTATTATGAATTATGCACTCATTATGGACTCGTATTTTGGCCCGAAGCAATGGATTGAAGTTAAAAACGTCTTGATGGATTTGTTTCTTACAAACATGCAGCTTTTTCATTTTAGAAGACATTAACTGATGGACTGGAGGGCTGTGGATTATTGTGATGTTTTTATCAGCTGTTTGGACTCTCATTCTGACGGCACCCATTCACTGCAGAGGATCAAGTGCCGTAATGCTACATTTCTCCAAATCTGTTCCCAAGAAGAAACAAACTCATCTACATCTTGAATAGCCTGAGGGTGAGAAAATATTCAGCAGATTTTCATTTTTGGGTGAACTATTCCTTTAAGACATTGTAGAGTATGAGTATCTGTGTTCAGGGTGGCGCAGGCGTACGTCAACCAGCGCAAGCTGGACCATGAGGTGAAGACGCTGCAGGTTCAAGCCAGTCAGTTTGCCAAGCAGACGGCTCAGTGGATCAACATGGTGGAGAACTTCAACCAGGCCTTAAAAGTACACAAGCTTTTTTTAAATATTGATTAATGCGGGATTGAAATGATGGCTAATTTAGTGTTGCTTTTGGTGAAATGTGCAGATTTAATGGCAGATTATTCCTTTACAGGAAATCGGAGATGTGGAGAACTGGGCGCGAAGTATTGAGATGGACATGCGGACAATCGCGACAGCTCTGGAGTATGTGCACAAAGGCCCGGCTCAGCCCACGTCTTCATGAGCAGATGGACTCTGATGGTCCAAAATGGACAGAAACGCTGAGGCTTTTCCTCCAGATGTTGGTGAAACTTGGACACTGTTATTTGAGACATTTGTGTCTCATTTATTCCAGTAAAGAATTGCTGGAACAGCTGTTTATTTCTGATTTGTTTTATTTTTATTTTCGTTTTACATAATATTAATATGCTTGCATAATAAAAAATATCTATTGTGCCATAAGTTGGAATGTTTTAGATCACATTTTACCCCCAAAAGTTCCCTTGTACAGATTCGCTGTCCTGCTTCTAACTTTGACCAGCATTTAACAAGTGTTTTCCATTCAGCCTCAGTAATGAATGTATAGTACCAGAATTACACATTTTCCCTGCCCCTTTTTTTTAGCTTTTATAGACCTAACAGTGAGCTGAAATAGATTTTATACGTTTTTGTGGGATTTCACGGTTTGTTAATTTTTACTTAACCCATGTTAAGCCGTGCACACACTGTGACGCTACATAATCCACATATACAACAAGGTCTTTCAGCCTCAGGATTAACATAAGGAGAAAGAGTAAAACGTTAAACTAAGACAACGAAAAGAAAGAGTAGAATGTGGCTGCTTTAAGTCCAGATTTCACATGTTTGCCCCATGGGACTGCATAAGATTTTTAGCTTGATTTTCTAGCTGTTGTTTTAGGTCTTCAAGACCCTTTTTATCATGATTTTTAAGCATATATAATTTTGAAACTCGTATGGAATATATATATATATATTAGGGGTGTAACGGTTCAAGTTTCTCTAGCGTTTTGGCCGTGTGGTTGCAGAAAGATGCACGGACGCAGACACAACAGCAACACCTGTGCTGTGCAATAGTGAAAGTTGTCACTCCAAATGTGTATTTGAAGGTTTGTTTTTTCGCCAAAACATATCATCCATATCCTTTTTTAGAACTGAGATTATTTGCGGTACAAATGCGTACCGAACCGAGGGTGGCGAACGGTATGGTTCAGTCTTTTACAGAGAACAGTTGCACCCCTAATATATATATATATATATATATATATATATATATATATATATATATATATATATATATATATATATATATATATATATATATATATATATATATATATATATATATATATATATATATATATATATATATATATATATATATATATATATATATATATATATATATATATATATATATATATATATATATATATATATATATATATATATATATATATATATATATATATATATATATATATATATATATATATATATATATATATATATATATATATATATATATATATATATATATATATATATATATATATCAGAGTTATCAGTCTAAAACCATAAAATTAAACCGGGTTAAACAAACTAAAATCATAAAAAAAAATCCTTACTTGAAATAAAAGCTGAAATAAAAACAACAACAACAAAAAACTAATTATAACTTATTTTATTTCAGCTAGTTTTCAGATTTTTATTTAGTTCAACTTTATGTACTAAAATAAAAATGAAATGAAAATATAATAAAAAACTACTATGAAATAATAAAATCTATATAGATATATAAACTAATAAAAATCACAAAAACACGTATTACGAAAACGTTAACGTAAACTTAAAATGTATAAAAATACTGATAAAAACTATTATCTTCCTAGATCCATATGCTAAATTATTTTTATATATTTCAATAAAAATAATTTCTATATTGTGTAATATTATTAATTACATTTGTATTTCTATATAATTGTATATTCTAATTTCTATTATTATTATTAATATTTTATACGTACTAATATTCCATGTAGTCTTTCCATTATTATGAGGTCTTCACGTATAATCATTTGAACAAAAATAGAAATGGTTTAAAAGTGTTGTAAACAAAAATGCCGCATTAATGTCGCATCACTGGACGCTCCTGTCATTGCTTGAAGTTTCCGTCAACCTCCCAAAAACTAATTCAAACAACCTAAAAATAAAACAAATTGGCATGATTCTCCTTAAAAGTTCCTCCCAGCCCAGCTATTTGTGGATGACGCTTACACAAGCACACAAAAATGCCCAAACGCCAATCCAGTGAGATTGGAGATTAGAAATTGCGGCCCTGTCTGAGAGGATCAGTTTTAGGGATAAATCTGAGACGCAGACCCACTTCAGATCACTCACCAAACGCGCTCAGGACCTCCAGCTCCAGAGCCAAGAAGAGAAAAAAGTAAGTCTGATAACTGACTACTTTAACTGATAACAGAATTTCTTATTTTAAAAGGTATATTAACATTTACTTAAATGTGTATGTTTAAATAAGTATTCATTTATAGTATTAAAAAGAGTATTAATTGGTTTTAGATTCTCTTTTAAAATTACAATGTTTTACTAAATATTTTTTACTTGCGAACATGTAAAATGTATTCATTTTGAATTATTAATCAGGTTAATTTGAGTAATAATTTGATGTCCTATGATTTTTGTTACAAATAAGGTAATGTCTTTAACGTATGTTGATAAGGCTCTTCAGTTTAGTAACATTTTCTTATTTTTTGGACTATCGTATGACTGGTTTAGAAGTTTAAGTTAATAATAATTACAATTCTTTAGCAGTTTTGTCACATAATCTAAAAAATTATTGTAAAATATTGTATGCATACACTTTTATGCATTTATTATCGGAAAGCACATGAATCATTCTTTGATAAAAGCCTTTTATAAAAGCACGTTTGTTTGATAATTAATTAGCATACATTCCTCAAAGCATAATGTGCAAATAGGGTCTTAAATGGTTTGTTTTGTCGGATTTGTTATGTGGTAACAGATGAATCTTCAACCTTTCTCTTTGCTAATTAGTCCCTGTAGCTAATAGGTTTTGAGCTTTGAGAAGCTTATAGTGCTTCTGTGGTGCTGGATTTTCAATGTTACAGCATTCTCTAAACCTTTACATTGATGCCCAAGTCTCCCTTTGTTTCATAAGAGCCTTAGCTCAAGATTTCTCATGTGCTCTGAAAAACGACAGTGTTATGTATGTCAGCGCCCTGTGACTACATAATCTAAAACCAAAGAGAAGCTGTGTACATGGGTCAATAATGTTCAATAAGCATGAAAATACCATATTACGTCGTTTTATTTAAATATTTAAAGAAGTTTTTATATGTTTTATATAAGTTCACAATACCTTTTTGAACTGGTGTTAGATTATGGTGCCCCCTGTGGTTATTTAAGGAATTGCACTCTGACGCTTCATAATTACACCTGCATTGTTGTGTTTTTTCTTTCTTTTATGTCATTGGCATTCTACCAAAAAGCAATTGTTTACAAAACATCTTCACAGAATCACTCAAGAGACAGAAACGATGTATTTTATATAAGTTCACAATACCTTTTTGAACTGGTGTTTGTTAGATTATGGTGCCCCCTGTGGTGATTTAAGGAATTGCACTCTGACGCTTCATAATTACACCTGCATTGTTGTGTTTTTTCTTTCTTTTATGTCATTGGCATTCTACCAAAAAGCAATTGTTTACAAAACATCTTCACAGAATCACTCAAGAGACAGAAACGATGTACGAGTACTTGAGGTAAGACTAAAATACTATCAAAACAAGCAAATAAACCAACAAAACTCATAAACGTCAATTTTGTATGCATTTTGTGCTTACAGTAATAACTGTACATGCACATACGTCTTGGGTGTGTTCGTGCTGCTGTGGGTTCTGGTGTGGTTCTACCGGGACAACCTGGAGATCACCAAGGTCTTGGAGAAACATGTTTTTGTGACGGGTTGTGACTCTGGGTTCGGACACCTACTGTGCAAACGTCTGAACAAACGTGGTTTCCGTGTCCTAGCCGGGTGTCTCACGGAAAAGGGTGCAGATGATTTGAAGAGGGCGACGGGACCTTTCCTGAAGACCTGCATCTTGGACGTGACCAGCACAGCCAGCATTCAGAAGGCTTTGGAATGGACCAAAAAAGAAGTTGGAGATAAAGGTATGTTTCAGGTGAGACCTTAAAATAAGTTTTAGATACAAGTGTGACATCTTTGCTCACAACTTCCCAGGACTATGGGGACTCGTGAACAACGCCGGACGCTCCCTTCCCATGGGTCCATCAGAGTGGATGAAAATCAAAGACTTCGAAAGCACGCTCAAAGTCAACATGACTGGTGTTATCGAGATGACCATGAACTTCTTTCCTCTTGTCAAAAAAGCCCGTGGACGAGTGGTGAACGTGGCATCAGTGTTGGGAAGAGTGGCAGCTAACGGCGGAGGGTATTGCATCTCAAAGTTTGCGGTGGAGAGCTTCTCTGATTGTCTCAGGTATCACACGTCAATAAATACAATGGTTTTTATGTGGCTGTAGTATTGTTTCGACCTTTGAAACCATTTACCTTTAGTCTTTAAAGAAAACCTCTTGATTTTGCATTCAATTTCAGGAGGGACATCCAGAATTTTGGGGTCAATGTGTGCATCATAGAACCTGGTTTCTTCAAGACACAGGTGACCAGCCTGGAGCCTATCGAGAGGGAACTTCATCGCCTCTGGAACCAACTGACGCCTGAAGTGAAGGAGAGTTATGGAGACAAATACTTGGATAAATGTATGTTATTTATGCCAACAACTACTTTTCTCGGACACCTACTGTGCAAACGTCTGGACAAACGTGGTTTCCGTGTCCTAGCCGGGTGTCTCACGGAAAAGGGTGCAGATGATCTGAAGAGGGCGACGGGACCTTTCCTGAAGACCTGCATCTTGGACGTGACTAGCACAGCCAGCATTCAGAAGGCTTTGGAATGGACCAAAAAAGAAGTTGGAGATAAAGGTGTGTTTCAGGTGAGACCTTAAAATAAGTTTTAGATACAAGTGTGACATCTTTGCTCACAACTTCCCAGGACTATGGGGACTCGTGAACAACGCCGGACGCTCCCTTCCCATGGGTCCATCAGAGTGGATGAAAATCAAAGACTTCGAAAGCACGCTCAAAGTCAACATGACTGGTGTTATCGAGATGACCATGAACTTCTTTCCTCTTGTCAAAAAAGCCCGTGGACGAGTGGTGAACGTGGCATCAGTGTTGGGAAGAGTGGCAGCTAACGGCGGAGGGTATTGCATCTCAAAGTTTGCGGTGGAGAGCTTCTCTGATTGTCTCAGGTATCACACGTCAATAAATACAATGGTTTTTATGTGGCTGTAGTATTGTTTCGACCTTTGAAACCATTTACCTTTAGTCTTTAAAGAAAACCTCTTGATTTTGCATTCAATTTCAGGAGGGACATCCAGAATTTTGGGGTCAATGTGTGCATCATAGAACCTGGTTTCTTCAAGACACAGGTGACCAGCCTGGAGCCTATCGAGAGGGAACTTCATCGCCTCTGGAACCAACTGACGCCTGAAGTGAAGGAGAGTTATGGAGACAAATACTTGGATAAATGTATGTTATTTATGCCAACAACTACTTTTCTCCATTTCTCCAAACATATAGTCTTAACTATAAACATTCCATAATGCAGTAGAAGGACCATTTTTAGTTCCCCAAAGAACCTTTCAGTTGAAGAATTCTTCAAAGAACCATAGTGTGAAGATCATTTAATTTTTCTACTATAAGAACCTTTTGCGCACTGAAAAAGTTTCCATGGATCTTAATGGTTCTTCATAGAACCATCAATGCTAATAAAGTACATTTATTTATAAGAGTATAGTCCATTTAGACACTCTTTGTCTCTCCAGATATCAAGATCCAGAGGCTGATCATGAACACCATATGCGACTCCGACCTCAGTAAAGTGACCAACTGCATGGAACACGCCCTGCTGGCCGTCCACCCAAGGACACGCTACAGTGCAGGCTGGGATGCCAAGCTCTTGTGGATTCCCTTGTCTTATATGCCCGCTTGCATTGTAGATATTGCCCTAAAGCTGGTGTTGCCAAAGCCAGCAAAAAGTGTCTAGATTTGGAAGTGATTGTAGGCCAGATATGTTTAACTCCTAACCTTTAATTTTCCTCTTATGATACACTGGATGATGCTCTATTTTGGGGTCTTACTAAGTAACTAGAGTTTACAAACACTATGTGTCTGTAAATTTAATAGTGTATTTATGATGCAAAGTTATCTGGTAACTGGACACTATCAGTAATTTTGTATATTTATGAACCATTATGCAACGTAATTAAAATGTGCCTTGAAAATGCATCACCAGTTTGGTCATCTAATGTAGATGTGTTGCTAGAGTGGCCTTTGATGTTTTATTTGTATGAAACGGTCAGAGTTACTGCTAATTAAGTTAATATAACTGTATAAACATAATTCAATAAATGTTATAAGAATATTTTCTATGCACTGCCATCTGTGCACCAATCTCTTCCCAGAAAAAAAAAACCTGCTTAAAATCAGCATATATGCTGGTTTACTGGTTCTAGCTGAACTCGCATAAAACATCTTTGACTGGTTTTTGTTGTTGTGTTTTTTCAATACTGTACTTTGAAGGTCATGATCTTCCACCTTTTGGTGAGTTGAGACAATTTAACTACAATTTAACAACAAATACTTCTTAGTAAACAAGAATTATTCATTAACAGTTTGTCCCATGACGAAGGAATTATTAAACCGTTTTCCCTGACCTGATTCTTAAGTTATCAAAAGTCGCGCATGAGAGATCCCAGTAGATTGATTATCTCTTGGCCACCTCATCGAAAAGAGCTGTTCCGACACTTACAATATAAAAAACCATTAAATACACACACTTCATATTTTATAGAGAAGACTACCTAGATAGCACACGTACCTCTGCAAGAGGTCTGTTAAAGATCGCTTCATCTGGAAAGCATCTGCTGTGAACAAACATCTGACAGACATCTTTAAGATGTCAGTTTTACATACATTCTAAATCATAAACATCTTAAAGACATCTTCTAAACGTCTATTTGACATCTGATAGGAAACGTCCTATAGACTTATATGAGCAAATGTAAACCATGATGTAAACCCTGATAGCACATGTACGTCTCGGAGACGTCTATTTAAAGGGGTCATATGATGCGATTTCAATTTTTCCTTTCTCTTTGGAGTGTTACAAGCTCTTGGTGCATAAAGAAGATCTGTAAAGTTGCAAAGACTAAAGTCTCAAATCCAAAGAGATATTCTTTATAAAAGTTAAGACTTGTCCACGCCCTCCTAAAATGGCTCGTGTCTACGTCACTGTGTGGGAAGATTTGCATAACACCGCCCAAATGTTCACGCAAAGAAAGAAGGCGTAACTTTTATTCTCGCTGTAGTATTGTGAATCCGCCGGCCACGCCGTTCTCAAGCCCACCGGCCTCCACTCACTCAAGCCCGTCATGTGTGACGCATTTTATGGAAGACTGTTTCCTGAACCTGCAGAGTAGCCTACAATGCATCTGTGTTCAAAGGCTGTTCTATAAAGTGGGGCAGCTCCAACTTTGCAAGGACAGTCTGGCGCTTCTGACTCATATACTGTAAGTACGTTTTCATTTAAAGAATTTGCCACTGACGATTCAAATGCGAGTTTTGGGCAGTGTAGAGTAGCACTTGTTGTTTGTCATTTCTCCGATCACAAATGCAGACATGGTTTTATCTTTATGCGGTGCGATGCAACGCAACGCATAAAAAGACAGTATAAGTCATTATAATCAGTA